GGACCAGATGATTTTTATTATGTCCTGATACGTAAAACCATAGAACTCAAAGAGGGCATACGTTCTTTTTCACACAACTGTAGCTACTGATGAACTAAATAAGGCTCTTCTCAGAAAAAGGGGTGATCAGTATCAATGCTGTATTTTGCATTAATCAAGAAATAGCTTGAACTTTGTTCTAGCAATAGGTCTAGTCATGTGACTAAATATTATTTTAAAAATCAAATTATCCAGACATGATTATTACCATACAATTATGGTGTTGGAAGGGGACATTTAGGCCATTAAGTCAGCACCCTTGCCCTGTACAGGAATCCAAATTAAAGCATCCCCAACAAATGACCATCTAGGCTTCACTTAAATACACACAGATAAGGGAAGCTTATAATTTCTCTAGCTGGTACTCTGGCAAACTAATATTACTATTAGAAATTTCTTTAACATTCATTCAGAATCTGTATTTCCTGCATTCTGAAATAGTGGAAAGTAGGCTTTGACGTTCTTCTAACATCAGGTATTTGAAGAACACTACCATATCCCCCCATTACTCTTCTATTTTCTAAGCAAAATATTACCAGTTGCTCCTATCTCTCTTCACAGAGATATAGTTTGTAGTCCCTTGATCATTCTTATTGCCCTTCTTGAAACCTGATCCAGTTTCAGCACCACACCCTAAAAAGGATTTAGATAATCTCACAAAGTACAGGTAGTCCTTGACTTATGACCACAATAGGGAACCAAATTTCCATCACTAAGTGATGCAGTCATTAAGTAAGTCATGCCCAATTTTATGACATTTTTTGCTGCAGTCATTAAGCGAATCATGCTGTTGTTAAGCGAATCTGGCTTCCCCCACTGACTTTGCTTATTGGAAGCCCCCTGGGAAGGTTGCAAATGGTGATCATGTGATCGCAGGACTCTGCCATCATGAATACATGTGATCCCAGGACTCAACCATCATAAATACATCCCGGGTGCCAAGCACCTGAATTTTGATCACATGACCGTGGAGATGCTGCGATGGTCATAAGTGCAAGGACTGGTCGTAAATCACTTTTTTCAGTGCCATCATAACTTTGAACAGTCGTTAAAAGAATGGTTGAGGACTACCTGTACAGGAAAAAGAAAAATAAAATGGTAGAAAAACTCATGGTAGCTTTTACTATTAGAATGCAGGTAATTAATGTCAGAAAAGATCAATTACAGTGCTGTTCCAATCTGAGAATTCAGCAACTACAAACAAATGGAACAGGAAAAGAGCATATAAAAGTAAATATAGGGATTCTGCAGACCACAAGATGGCACCAAACTGTTACAAAATAAAAAGCAACTTGCTGTGAACAGGCTAGAACAGCATCCAAAATTAGTACATTCTCTGAAAATTCTCAATAAACAATATTTTCCTTAAATTGTACAGAAAAATTAGGGACAATTGTACCATACAGAAAAAATTAAAAATAAATAAAAATTGTTAAAACAGTTCTTTGCTAGAATGTTTGTTCCTGTTCCTGGGAATTCTGGGAGATGAAGTCCATACCTCTTAAAGTTGCAAAGATTGAGAAACATTGCTGTAGAGAGTAGACAGCCCAGGAACTGAAGCTCTGTCTGTTCCAACCGTTACCTGGAAATTCCTTTTTCCTGGAAATTCCAGTTTAATCAGATGTTGGAGGAAAACAAAGGTAGCTGTTTCCTTCTGTCCATCTTGGCAGACAGCTTTGTGCTCTGTTTCTCCAAGATCTGCCTCTGGTTTTCACTGGAACAAAGCTTCTTCCTCTCTAGAGAGATTTTGGGGAATTTGGGTACATCTAGGCAGCAAAGCCCCTGTCTGAGATAAATGTGTGTATTCATCTCAGATGCTAAATTTCTGTCATTTGGATTGGCCAATGGTGAATATTAGATTTGAAGTGTGCTTTTCACAATATGAATGTGTCTGCTATCCTCCTCCCCCTCTTTCTTTTCCTTCTTATTAGAATCGTTTGCAATTGTGATTTTAGTATCTCCTTTTCAGGAAGTCCACCCATCATGAGCTCCTTTTCTCATTTCTTGCTGTAGAATCGTACATCTCATTGCTCAGAAGTCAATTTCTTTTTAGGAAAATGCACTGACCCTGATAGACAGCTTTTCAATAGGCAGGGAAAAACAATTTCACTTGTTTTTATTTTAAGTTTATTGTATTATATCTTTGAAGAATTTAATGTTCTGAAAAATGGGACATGTTTCATTTATTTATTTTCATCAAAATGATGTTGATTATTGCTGCAAAGTTTCACAGAATGAAGGATCCAAATGAATTTTTAGTTCTAGTCAAGATTTTGTTACATGTTTATTGCTTTCTTATCTGATTGACTGATACACTTGATTGATTTGGGGAAGTTTACAGGATGCAATTTTTAATTTGCAGTAAAAGTTTGCTCAATTGCTTACAGACCTAATTAAATGTTGTATTAATTTGCATATCAGTAAAATTTGCAAAATGCTGCACAATTGTTAGCTCAGCCAGATTAGCTTTGAGAAATAAGCCATTTTCATCCCATTTTACAGACAAATAATCAAGATTCTGCTATTAACATAATCAAACTTAAAACATTTCTGCATCCATTCTGATGGGGTGTAAAAATAGATGTACGCATGCCACCAAACTGCTTCTCAGTTATTGCAGTACTGTAGTAGCAAATTGGATATATAATTCTCTCAATCCATACTGCATAAGGATCAAATCAAAACTGTAGAAAGATAAACATGCATATATTTGCCTAAATATATCAGAGGTTATATACCTTAGTACTGGAATTCTTGGAAAATATTAGCTTTCCAATAGATGCTAAATTATACACAGATGAGTTTTTAATTTTTACTTTTCTCTTTTCCAGAAACTGATGCCAAAGCCATCTCAAAGAGGCATATTCGTCGTGATTGGATGATTATTCCTGATACAATTGCATTAAATGTATATGAGTTAGTAAACAAAGTGTCACCTAAAGTGGCTGAGTATTTGGTTAATGTTGTCCAGACACCAGCTATTCTTGAAACAAGGTATGTCAGGTGAAGATTGCCATCCTCAGCTTCCTAGGTCATTTGTGGAATTGCATGGATTGGCATGAAAGGCAAGACTGAGAGTAAGGGAGTAAACCAGCTGCAGGGCCAATAAACCATTTGGCAGAGCAAACTGCTTGACACAGTTGGTGGATATGGAGAAGCCATACGTGGCAGTGAGATGTGGGGTGACAGAGTTGTGGGTGCTACATAGCCTGCTCTGCTTTGCTCGATTAAGCCTACCTGCAGCCCAAAGATGTGGCAAAAAAACTGCCCTTTCCCCAACACTGAAACAATATTAATATTAAAATAAAAAATCAGCTGACTGATTTCTGCATATAGAACTATGGGTGGTTCTATGAACTATATTGGCCTCAAGCAGCAAAAGGCTTTTGCTGCTCCTCTTATTAACCAATTACTTTTCTTAGGGCACATCCACATCTCTCCCTAATTTTGGCTTGAAGACACTTCACTAACCATTTTTTAAGCTTCCATCCTCATGATGCAGCCCTCATCTCATCTCCATTCAAGGCCACCTAACTTTGGATTATCTGATCCAATGTAAAAGTGGGTTTTCCATCTTTTCCCAACACAAACCTTGCTATTTTCACAGTGTGTGGGACTTTGGCATGGTCACTGCCATGACCATGGCAAGGATATAGTTGGGGAATGGGATGTGCCACCTTCTATTGACTCCTGTTTCTGCAACAGCGTAACTACCCTTTCCCAATCACTGGGCTCTGCCACCATCCCTTGCAATTTGGTTTGTGCTTATATAGACAGCCACAGGATGGAGGAAAAGCAGCAGCCATGATAGGAAGATCACCACCATCATTACGTGCTTTCGGAGCCATAGCAGACCTGAGTATTTATAGTAATCGTGCTGTCGACCCTCTTGCAATCTTGTTGCTGCTACACCTCCATGTTTTAGAGTCCCTTCCTTTTTTAGATTTCAATATGCTGCTCAATCAGCCAAAGAAGAAATAGATATATGTAAATTAGTACATCTGTAAGGCATCAGATAACGGAAGTTTATTGTACAGGGCAATTTTAGAACATCTTTCAGATAGTCATTTTGTTAACAGATATGCCACTGTCATTCTAAACTCACTAACATAGGTATCTCTTTATGGCAGGAACTTCCTGATAAAAGAAACAGCTAAAATCAACGTACTGGCTGAACAATTCATGGCAAAATTATATGCATTATGGGAAGAATTGAAAGAATCAGCACAGCAATAACACCTTCATGAATCTGTGAAATATTTCCTTGCGTTTTTGAATATACAAGAGATTAAAAAAAATCAGTGCTGTAAAGGCAGTTCTTGCCAGAAGATGCTGGGGGAGTGAATAACCTACGTTCAGCAAGAATAAATTATAAAGGGTTTTTTTAATAACAAATATTACTTGTTTCTTCTATTGGAAATAATCACAATAGAACACTTAACTCATTTCATTAACACTTGACTCCTGTGTTTGTGTGTGTATGTGCACGTCCTTTCCAGTTATGGCAAACATTTCATGCAATGTGGTCCATGAAAGTTTATCCATGGCTATGCTAAATAAATCTGCCAACCTTAAGGTATTATCAATGCTTTGTTGACTGTTGCAAAAGAGCAAATGGCTATCCCTCTGGAAATACAAAGAGAAAATAGGCAGTGCCTACTTCCTAGCTCATTACATTCTGTCAGGCAGGGAGTCAGAGTGTAAGTGAGCTAGAAACACAGCTTCCTGTGATGAGCAGCTTCACGGAGAAAGAGCAGACTCAAGGCTCTTCTGCACAGCAGCCTTAATGTACTTGTCTCTCATGCTAAACGATTAAATTAATGTCCAGATTTCAATTTGTATCCCAGCTTTGGCAATGCGATCGTCCAGACATAGGTTATCATGGCCCCCAATTGATCAATTCCTCCTGTTCTTGACAAGAAAGCAAGCACCAATCACTTTTCTATCCAGGGGCAGGTCATTAAGGGCATGTGATTTCTATTGATAGATTTTTGTATGAGTCTCCCTATAAGAATCTGCAAGGCTTAGTTCCCAATGAAAGGAACTCCCACTGAAACTGATGTAGGTTCAGAGAAGAAGTCATTGAGGACTAGTGCACAGTTCTAAAACATTGCTGAAACTAAAAGCCCGTGCACGCCAAACTTAATTTTAACACCTTTCCCCTTTCGCCTCCCCCCTTCCAGCCCATAGTCTTTCTTGCACCTATCACCGGGTCTCTCCTGGTCTCACACTGGTATAACCTTGGGCATTCCTGAGAAACAAATAACAGCCCATCTGCACCTAACGGTTCAACTTCTAGCTCTCCCCCCCCCCCCCCCCCTT